GGCCTACCACGACATGTTCTCGGAACCCGGAGAACATCTAAGAACATAACCAATGTTCTTAGAATCGAATTCCGATGTGTTATAAAACAAGACAGTCTCAACCATACATGCTCTATAACCATTTCGTGCAGACTGCAAGGTTCCTAGAACATGCTTCGGTTGGCCTATAGGCGAGCTAGGACGCTTCGCCACTGCTTGGTCCTTGGCGCAGCAGTGGGAGATCTTCTGTGGGGGCCGCGACAGCTCCGAGCAGTGCGTGCAGTGGTGGTAGCCCGCGTCGCAGTCGCACTGGCTTTTACCCTCCTCAGGGGGCGCATCGCCCTGCGGGAGGCCCGAAGGGGGGGGGGCGGCTCCGAGGGGCAGCCCTTCTTGGCGGTCTTGCAGCAATAGATCTTCTTCTCGCCAGACCAGCCGCGCACCCGCTGCAACGGGTCGAGGCCGTCGTAGCCGGCGTTTGCAGTCGATCGGGCACGGGGGCGCGGTGCTCACCGCCGTTGTCGCCAATGGCGCGGCCGGCGCGACGGGCGCGACCAGCGCCGCCATGGTGCTGGGCGCAGCTGGCGTCGTCGGGCAGCCCTTGCCCTCGTGCAGGCAGCAGTGCATCTTCTTGGGCACATCCCAAGACGCGACGTCGCCCTCGCCGCAATTGATCTTCATGAGAGGAGTAGGAGTTCGGATCCTTGCCCTTCAGTAGTGGGGCTGTAAAGCATAGCCACATCATAAGGGAAACGAATGGAGAAACGCAGACGCATATAGGCTAGAGGCAGCTAGACTACAGAAAGCAAAGAAGCAACGTGCATCTGAAACCCCAGACCGAGTGTTCGCCTGGCCTTGAAATCGCCGCCGGAAGGAGGGGGGGCCGCCAATGCCGCCGCGCACCACGGCCGCCAAGGCCACCGCTGGGGAGGGGGGGGGCGGGCCGGGCGGGGCACCGACGTCAGCCCGGGAACCTCCGAGGAATCGCCGCGCCGACGGGGGCGGAGGCGCAGTCGATCGGCGTCTCCAGGATGAGCGCCCCGAGCACGCGGGCCGCAACCTGGGGGCGAGCGCGGGCCGCCGGGCCCGCGTGGGCCGAGCGGGTGACCCACCCCGTCGCGGCCGTGCGGCGCGTCTGCGTCAGCCGCCAGTCAGCGGTGCCAGGCGGCATGGTGCTGGATAGCCCGGCCCGATCAGCGTCGAAACGCGGGCGCTCCGCCCGCCAATGGCGGGCCGAAGCGCGCGGCGAGGCGCAGCGTGGGCGCCGCTGCAGCTCCGGCGACCGGCAGCGCCGCGTCGGCGTCCACGTCGCTCCGGCTCTCCAGACCCGCAGCAGAAATCAGTGGCGGGAAGAAAAGCCAGCCATCCAGTCAGTCCCTCCAGACGGGGTGTGAAGACGCTTCGATATCAACGTCGTCCAAACCTTCCCCATAATTGCGGGGCTCAGAAGCGCAGCGACGAGCCCGGTGGCTGAGGAGGGAGGCCCGGGCCGCAGCCCGAAGGACGCGCCGCCCCCGCTCGGGGGGCGCGTCGACAAATCCCCGCCGCCAAGCGGGCCCCGCGGCGGCAATTCTGGCCCGGGCCCGGGGATCCATACTGGGGCGGCCTGCAGCCGCGCCCATTCCAAACAATCGGGGCAGAAGGGGGCCGGGGTCCGCCTGGGCCCCCGCGCCAGGGTCAGGGGCGCCCCTGGGGCGCCCGGCCCAGCAAAGATGAGTCCGAGCAGGGCCGCGTGGACCTGGGTTGCCCTGCGCAGAGGGGGGGGGTCAGGAAGCCCGTTGGCGGCCTAGAGGGACTGGAAGGCAGTGGCAAACCTGGGGCGGGGAGTCACGTGGTCCGCCCAAAAGCGCCGCGCACGCCGCCAAGAAGTCCGAGCCTTGGTCAGGCTGCCGAAGAGGGTGTCCACTGCCTCGTGGGGGGGAGGCAGACGAACGGGGCGGCCCAAATCCATTTGCTGAGAATCCAAGGGGCCGCGTGGGAACGAGCGTCCGCCGTGGGGGCCCTGAGGCGCCTGTCAGAAAATAAAACGTTGCCCCGCTTGCCCCTCGGAGTAGGGAGCTCAGGGTCAGGCGACGCCGGAGCGGCCGCGATGCCATAGTGCTCGCGCCCCCCCCTCACCTTGCCATCGCCGGCGCTCCCCCCTGTTTGCGAAACGCTGGGCGGTGGCCAAAGCAGCCTCGACCGCGGCGGCGGCGGCATCGACCGGGGGCCCGTCCGCCCGCAAGGAGCGGTCTTCAACGTTAACCGACGATCGCAATCGGGCCGCGCCGGTATCCGCGACCGGCCGCAACTCGGGATGGGGGCCTTTCGCCCTTTCAGGCCGTCGACCCATCTCCGCCGGGCCGAGAGCAGCAGCGCAGCTCATGACTGCCTCGGCCTGGGCATGCCACTTGTCGAGGGCCGCCGCGTCGGGGGGCCGATCGTCGGGCCGAGGTTCTTCGCCGGAAGCCTCGGCCCGACGATCGTCTTCGTGAGACGGCGCCTCCGCCGCAGCAGCGCGGAGGAGCTGGTCCTCGGCGGCGGCGGGGTGGCGGGGCCAGGCGCGCGCCGCCGCGCGGGCGGGCCGCGCCCTCTGGGTGTCTCAGGGGTCTGGGCGTTGATGTCGTGCACCTCCGCAAGGTGGCGTGGGGCCTCCTTCGCAGGCGTCGCAGTGATCGGGCGAGCCGTGCGCCCCAGGGCAAGGCGCAGGGCGGGCAACGCAGGGCCGCCGGTGGCGGTGGGCGCCCCAGGGGCCAGGGCCAAGGGGGTGGGGAGGGCGGCGGAGTAAGCCTCTTTCCAATTGAAATAGCCTAAGACGATGGAAGGGCATTGGGCCCCCTCCGGCCCCCCCAAGACGAGCGACTCACAGAGCCAATCTAAATCGGGGCGAGACACCGCAGGCCCGTAAACCGACGACGCGCGGGAAGGGTTGGGGGCCCCCCGTTGTCGGCCGCATCGACGCCAGCTTGGGCGGGGCGACCGCGGCCCAAGGAGGGGCGCCAGCAGAGCATCGTGCCCCCCTGCCGCGGGGCAGGGTCGGCCGCCGCAGCAGCCCGGCGGCCCCGGCCCACCTGCGGGGGGGCGACGAGGGCCACTGAGCGCGCCAGCCCGCGGCCATGAGCACCTCTGGAGCCCGCGTGTGGCCACCGCGCGGGCGTCGCGTCTCCTGGAAGAGGATCAAATACCCGTGGACTGCCAAGTGAAGCGACGCCCGGAGGCGACCTCTTGCGAGAAGGGTCACGTTCAAAGCACGATCCTTGAACCTTTAGCCCCGTCCGGGGGACACCACCCGCACTTAGTACAAGCCCAGGGATTGGCGATCGCGGCCGCGGCGGAGTAGGAGTAGGAGTCCGGATCCTTGCTCCTCAGCAAAGGGGCTGAAAGCACAGCCACATCTCCGTGGTCGTGGGCGGTGGGGGCGGCGGGGGCGGCGGGGGCGGCGGCGGGGGCGGGGGCGGAGGCGCAGCCGTCGTGGCCTTCGTGGTGGTCTTCACGGTGGTGGTGTCAGGCGGCGGAGTGGTCGTGATGCTCACCGGGGTGGTGGTCGTCGTCGTGGTGGTCGTCGTCGAGCCCGGCGCCATCGCGAAGAGCAGGAGGGGCAGCAGGAGGAGCGCCCACGCATGCGGACCGCCCCGAACTCGCCCGCGTCCATGCCTACGCACTTGTACGTGGTCTCCTGGACGTAGTCGCCCCCTGGGCCCACGTAGCTCAGGATCGTGCCGCCGCCGCCGCAGCCCGATCCCTCGGCGCACGCCGCGCCGGCGCTGGAGCCGCAGCCCGAGCAGGAGGTGGTGCTCGTGCAACACGCCGTGCCGCAGTCCGCGCCCCCGCCTCCGTACGCGCGGCCTGGGCCGTACGCGCCGCCGAGCCCGCCCGCGCCTCCACCGAGGCCCCCGCCGTAACCGTAGCGGAACGACATGGCGCCGCGGGCGCGGAGGCGCTGCTGCAGAAAAGGAGGGTCCCTGGGGAAGGCTTGGGCCAAAATGGCTACGGAGACCCCAGATTCCATCTTAGGCAATGGGATGCGCCTCCTTTCCGGATATAACTCTCGTTTGATACGTCGGCGAATCTATGAAGATACTTGGGAGCTTCATCATCAAACCTCTTGGCGTTGCTTTGAGACAGAAGGGTGGAGGGCGTATACTTTACAGAGCGGGGGCTCGCCTGACTGGCAAACCCACTGGGCGCTCATCATTCACGGGGGGGCTCTCCCGGCAGTGGACAGGCATACTTGTAACGCAGGGACTTCTGAAGAGACCTGGGACGGGAAAATGTACTGCAACTGGTCCTCCCCCTCCTTCGCCTCCTCTAATATCCCCCGTTAGGACCCCCCTCTCTTCCTCCACTACCGCCTCCTCCTCCTCGGCCTCCTCCTCCTTCTCCTCCTCCTCTTCTCATTCTCCTCCTCCTCCTCCACCTCCTCCTCCTCCCTCCCCTTCCTTCCTCCTCCTCATCCTCTTCCTCCTCCTCATCCTCATCCTCTCTCCTCCTCCTCCCTCCTCCCTCCTTCCTCCTGCCTCCCTCCTCGTTCCTGCCTCCCTCCTCCTCCTCCTCCTCCTCCTCCTCCTCCCTCCCCTTCCTTCCTCCTCCTCATCCTCTTCCTCCTCCTCATCCTCATCCCCTCTCCTCCCTCCTCCCTCCTCCCTCCTTCCTCCTGCCTCCCTCCTCCTCCTCCTCATCCTCTTCCTCCTCCTCATCCTCATCCCTCTCCTCCCTCCTCCCTCCTCCCTCCTTCCTCCTGCCTCCCTCCTCGTTCCTGCCTCCCCCCTCCTCCTCCTCCTCCTCCTCCCTCCTCCCTCCTCCTCCTCCTCCTCCTCCTCCTCCTCCTCCTCCTCCTCCTCCTCCTCCCCCCCCCGCCGCCCGACGTGCTCCCCCGGATGTCTCCACCCCCTCCCCTGGGGACAGTGCCCTGCCCGCTCCCCGGAGGCCCCGGGGCCCGGCGAGGGCACCCGAGGAGCCGAAGGCGGCCGAGACCCTCCGCGGCGAGATCTCCTCGCGGGGCGCGGGGCGGGGCCGCGCCCTCCGCGGCAGGCCGAGGCCGCGGCCGAAGTGGAGGTCCTCCACGGGCAGCTCCATCTCCTCCCCGACCTCGTACTCGGACAGCTCCGCCTGGCCGCGGGCCGCCCCCCCCCATCCACGCTCCTCCTCCCCCTCCTGCCTCCTCCATGCTTCCTCCTCTCTCCCCCCTCCTCCCTCCTTCCCTCCTGCCCTCCTCCCTCCGACCACTCTGTTTCGATCCTCTGCCTTCTGTCCTCGTCCTTCCCCCTGCCCAGCGACAGCAGTGCCATCAGCGACGCAGCTGGGAACGGCTCGTGCGCGAAAGCAAACGAGCAGGGGCCAGCCAAGCTCCGCTGTATGTTCGGCGGCGGGCGTTTGCGAGAATGCGACACGGCAGGCAGTGGCAACACCCGCAGGCGTTGCCCGATGGCCACGCTGGAACAGCATCTTCGGCTGCAGTGCAGTGGGGACCCGCTCGAACGAGAAGGCAGGCAGCGGCAGCAGGGCCTGCAGGCGCGGAGAGTCAGCAGTGGAGGCCGCGGCGTGCAGTGCAGCAGCAGTGAAGGCGGAACAAAAACACGGATCAGGGCCAGTTCGGGCCCGCTTGCGGCGGAAAGCGCAGTGGCTGCCAGCGGCGGCTAAAAGGTGAGCCCGACGTCTTCAGCTGCAGCGCTTGGCTTGCGGAGCACCATGGCAGAAGGGACAGTCCATGTGAGAACGCAGGCAATGGCAGCAACGGTTGTCGTTGCCCGCGGGCGGCGCAGGAGCAGCATCATGAGCTACAATGCTGCTATGGTTAGCTCGTGAGAAAAAGGCAAGCAATGTCAGCAGGGACTGGCAATGCGAGCAGGCAGGCAGTGGCGGCAGGGTCTTCTGGCGCGAAAGGGCAGGCAGTGGCGGCGTCTCAGCGCAGGCTGTGACAGCGGATGTTGTCAAGGCGAGAAGACAGGCGGACTGAGGTCAGCTCGTGCGAGAAAGACTGGGGGCAACTTGTGCGAGAAACATGCAGTCGTAAGGCAAGCGCCGTCAGCTACAGGCGTGCGGCGGCAGCATTTGTGCGATATGGCAAGGGGGGCGAGCGTGCGCGGCAAATTCGCAAGGGATCTGGAACGACACCGTCAGTTTCAGCTCGGCAAATTGGTTTCATCGCGGCGCATTGGCGCCCAGGGACGGCCTGGGGTTAAGTAGTGTGTCCTCGTCGCCCCCGTTCGTCGCCCTGCGATTCTCCGGAGGTTGGCCCGCCAGATCCTGCTAGATCCCTCCCCAGCGACGACGTCGGCGGCAGCGGCGAAGACGTCGCGGCCGTCGTCGTGCGCGGGGCATGTCCACGTTCGGTTAGGTCGGGCATATCCTCCTACAGGCGGATTTTGGAAGAAACAGGAAACATAGTCAAAACATTGTCAAAGAAAGCCAGTACATAATCAACAGCATCGTCACCATGCAATTTTTGGACTATTTTTGTATATCCCTCCTGTAGTAAGCCTGCGACGCTGGCGACGGCTGCGACAGCCCGTAGACCTTCTGCTGTCGCTGGAGGCCCATCGAAAGCCTCGGGAGGTTCCTGGGGGGAGGCCCGGAACCCCGGAGCGCCGCGAGACCTTCGAAGACGACGCCACCACGACGACGACCACGACTGCGACGATGGCTCGGCGGCGAACAAGGGGGGGAAATGAGAAGGAGAAGGCCTTCTCGGAAGGCTCGGAAGGTCCCCAGCTTTCTGAGAAGTTTTATAAGCTTTCCCCGAAAACGCAGAAAACCTCTCAGAAGGCGCTAGGGCTTCTGAGATGTCCCGTCGCATTCTAAGAAGGCCTTCTCCTTCTCACTCCCCCCCCCTCGCTCGCCGCCGAATGGCGGCGATGGATGACTTTCCGCTTCTCGCAGTCGGCGGCGCAGAGGGTCCTAAAGCGCGGGCAGCGGGTGGAAATGCTAATTGCGATCGAACGTTGTCGAAGGCACAGCGTACAAACCGTGCGCACTGTCGAGTGCAGGCATGGGTGGTGTGAAACTTGCCGTCGCTCGGACGTCCATTCCCTGTGCGTTTTTCGGTTGTGTGCGTGTCTTTCTTGCTCGATGATCCGGGATGCTCTTCGGTGGTCCTCGCCGGAAGAAAATGCACACGTCCGAGCGATGCCAAGGAAAGAGGAGCTGCAAATCCAGACGAGACGTGCAACTTTGGACGCCCGAAATGGGCACCGAAAGAATGAGTACAATGCCCAACAACAAATGTTGTCCCGAACCAACAGCGGCCGCTGTTGGGCAGGCGGCCCTCTGCCTCGAATGGACACAGGCCGCGGCGGCGCGGACAGCGAATCCTGTTCAAGATGAACAAGAACTGCTGTTGGGCATTGTACCCATTCTTTCCGTACTCCAGATTTCGTAATAAAAGGAAGGGGGTCTCAACCCTCCCAGACGAGAAGTTTTAGACCCCCCCCCCGTGGGAGAACCCTCCAAAACATCGTCCCCGGACCCCCCAGGCCCTCCAAGATAGCCTGGAAGAGACCCCCCCCCGAAACGAGACCCCCCTCCCTATACTACGAAATCTGGAGTACCCAGTCTTTCCGTACCCATTTCGGGCGTCCAGAGCAACGGCCCGACCACCGAGGAGGCGACTCTCGCGGCACCCGGGCGCCGCTGCAGCCCGAGACTCGCCGGGGCAGCAGCGGCGGCCGCCTCGAGCCCTCGGGGCGCCTCTTGCCAGAGGGGGGCCTCTCTTGGCAGGCGGCCGCACCCGGGAGGACTGCGCGGACCCGGCCGTCCGCGTTCGGGAGCGGCCAGGAGGGGGGCGTCCATGAGGGGGCCCACAAACACACACAAACAAATAAATACACAAACACAAAGATCCCCCATCTTTTCGCATATTTTCTGGGTTTTCGTCTTCCCCCCCACTTCCCATATTTTCCCATATTTTCTTGGGGGTCGACGATGAATTGTGTATGTGTGTTTCTTCCCCTCCTGATTCCAAGAGGGGGGGGTGCAAATCATGACCGGCGGCACGTGCGCGGCCCAGCGGGGGGGCCAGGGACGTAACGAAACAGGACGAGGCGCCATGAGATCTGGGGAAATATCATGGCCCACGCCATGATGTCCACCCCCCCCAGTCATCACCCCCTTCTTTTCCGCCCCCGACGTGTCCGGCACTCGAACCCAGGGGCCGGGGGGGGCGTCTGCGGTCGAGCCGAGCAGCTCGAAGCGAACTGCAGCGCGAGCCGCGGAGGATCTCCCCCACGCGCATGGGACCTTCGGCAGTCCCCTGCGCGGACTTCCTGGGCCAGCGCCGGCCCCGCTCCCGCGGAAGGGGCGGGCGCCGGCCTCTGCGCTGCCGAGGAGGGGGGGTCGGGCGGGCTCCGGTGCCGACCCGAGAGGTCCGCGCGGCCCCGCGGTGTGTTCTTGTTGTGTTGCTCGCATCCCGTACAGGGCTGTTTTTAATACGTAGGATTTTCAAGAATGTAGGATTTTTGATACATGACTCATTCATGAATAAATTCATGCATGAACTCATCGTTGCGTTTGATACTAAATCCCCGCATTTTTAATGCATGATCCGCGCGCGGAGCATGTACTAAAATCGGCGCTGTATCCGGAGAATGGGCAGCGTGTCATTCGAAGGAGCGCCTTCCGAGCGGGCTGGGAGGGCGTCGGGGGCGGGGGGGGGGCTGGGGCCACCTGCGCACCCCCCTCCCCAAGCAGCGATGGCAGGGTGGGCGGTTTCAACTCCGTGCTTCCCTCCCCGACGATCTATAAATAAATATATATATATATATATTCTTATATACATATATATATAGATATATGTGTATATGTATGTATGTATGTATGTATGTACGTATGTATGTATGTATATATATATATATATATATATACAACGGCGGCGGCGACAACGGCGACGACGACGCTGCCCGCCCGCCCGGCTTTATCGGGGATGGACAGACCTCCCTCTAAGTAAAACGTGGTTTAGTGAAAACGACCTGAGGCCCAAACCTGGCGGGCGCAAGCCTGGAGAATAACGGCCGCGGCGCCCTCTCGAGAACCCAAAAAGGACAATTCGCTAATCGACGTGTCACTGTTGGGGGTTCTGTCCGCCCCCGACCATACATGGGTACGATGGCCCAAAAACGAATGCTAACAAAAACCAGCAGCGGCCGCTGTTGGGCAGGCGGCCTCCTGTCTCACATGGGCAACGCCCGTGCGACACTGGCAGCGAGTCCTGTTCAAAACGAACAGGACACGCTGATGGTCTTTGTACCCATTTCCGTACCCACTTCGATCATGACTTGCCCACGACGACGTCGACGCTGCCCGCCCGCCCGACTTTCGGGGGGAACGTCAAGGCAGGGTCGGGGCAGAAGTGAGCTAGAGGAAAGTCGCTCAAACGGCCCCTGTAAGAAGGACGTGTGAGTATCCATGAGACGAAGCCAGGACGAGGATAACATCGGGTCAGGGCCAGTCGATAATCTTTGAGATCTGGCGGCTCTGGAGGCTGTTTCGGGCGCCGCGGCCTTCCCAGAGCGCTCTGGAACGCTCTGACGTTCGGGAACGCTCTGGCTCGGATTTCTCCTCATCCGAGCCCCGTTCGATAACCCTCTCATTCGGGGATGGACAGAACCCCCTTTGGTAAAACGTGGTTTCGTGAAAACGACCCCGGGCCCAAACGTGGCGGGCGCACGCCTGGAAAATGACGGTCGCGGCGCCCTCCCGAGAACCGAAAACGGACAGTTCACTACACATCGACGTGTCAGGGTGGGGGCTCTGTCCACCCCTAACCTGAGGTCGGGCCTGTCCCCCCAGTGGGATTTGGGACGAAAACATAAAAATGGTCAAACAATGCACCGATATGGTCAAACAATGCTAACAAAAATCCTCCCCAGACTACTCTTGCCTAGTATCTTGGAATATTCTTCCTGTAGAGGGACAGGCCCTCTACGAGCCCCCGAGACTCGCCCACCACGATGTCGACGTGCCCCGCCCCCGCGGCGGCGGCGCGCGCGCGCGCGGCCTCCGGCTCCACCGCCTTGGGCACGGGCGCCTCGCGGGGCGCGGCGCGGCGCGGGGGCGCGGCGTGGCGCAGCCGTGGCCGTCGCGGTGGTGGTCGTCGCCCTCGTCGTCGTGTCGCCGAGTCTTCGCCGTCGTCGTCGTGTCGCCGAGTCTTCGTCGTCGTCGTCATCGCCGAGTCTTCGTCGTCGTCGTCGTCGTCGCGTCGCGTCGTCGTCGTCGTTCGTCGGTCGCCGTCGCGGTTGTAGCCGCCGGCCTCGTCGCCGCGTCGTCGTCGTGGTCGTGGCGGTGGTCGTTGTCCTCGCCGTGGCGGTCGTCGTCGTGGCGGTGGCGGTGGTCGTCGTGCTCGTGGTCGCCGTCGTCGTCGTGGCGTCGTCGGCGCGCGGTGGCGGTCGTCGTCGTTGTCTTCGTCGCGCTGCGACTGCGGTCCTCATGGTCGTCGCCCCCGGCGTCGCGTCATGATGGTGTCGTCTTGGTGCTGGTCGTCGTCTTTGTCGTCGCGTCATGGCGGTGGTGGTAGCCGTCATCGTGTTGATGGTCGTGGCCGTTCTCGTCGTCAACGGCGTCCGTCCTTCTCCACTCTCTCTGCTTTCCCTCCTGCTCAACGTCGTCCTCCTCCACCTCCTCCCTCCTGCCCCCTCCCTTATCGCTCCCTCCCTCCCTCCCTCCCTCCCTTCGTTGCAGCCCCGTCTCTCGGGCCGCGGCGCAGGCGGAGGCAGGGAAGAGAGAAGGAGAGAGCGACGACGGACCGACCCTCTTCCTCCTCCTCCTCCTCCTTCTCCTCCTCCTCCTCCTGCTCTTCCACGCCACGGACTTGAGCCAAGATGGCTATGGACCGCATTTTCTTGAAGGCTTCAAGGAGCAAGGAAGAGGAGGAAGCGGAGGTGGAGAACGGGGGAGGAGTTGCGGGGAGGGCGGGATAGGGAGAAGGGAGGGGAGGCGCAGGAGGAGCGGGCGGGGGGGGAGGGGGAGGTGGAGGGAGGGAGGAGGGAAGGAGGGAAAACGCGGAGGAGCAGGACGAGGACGAGGACGAGGCGTCTCTTGGCCCGGCGAGCCGCCCCCCGCGTCCACGCTCTCCAGCCACAGCCCGCGCGCGGGGGCCCTGGGCGCGCGGCGCACCCCCGAGGCAGGCCCGCACTCCTCTGGGCTGCCCTCGCTGTCGCTGCCGCCGCGGGCGCGGCACCCGCCTGGCTCCAGCTCCAGCTCCAGCTCCAGCTTCCCCTCCCCCTCCTCCTCCTCCTCCTCCTCCTCCTCCTCGTCCTCGTCCTCGTCCTCGTCCTCGTCCTCGTCCTCGTCCTCGTCCTCGTCCTCGTCCTCTGTCCTCCTCCTCCTCCTCCTCGCCCTCCTCGTCCTCGTCCTCGTTCTCCTCCTCCTTTCCTCGTGGCGCGTGGAGGCGCCACCAGGAGCGGCCCAGGCTCGGGTCGGACGGCACGGGGGCCAGACAGAAAAGGGGTTGCGCGAACCCGCTCGCGTGGCTGCTCTTCCTGGCGACTGCGGGCGCCCGCTGCGCCCGTGTGCAAAAGGGAAGAGACGCCTGGCGGCGGGGCCGAGACCACCTGCACGCAGCAGATTTCGCAGCCTCCTTCCCTCTGAGAGCGGGGGGGGCAGGAGAAGGAGAGTCTCCTTCTCCTGCCCCCCCCGCTTCGCCCGCACCGATGGGTGCCGACCCGGGAGATCCGCGCGGACCCCCCCTGGAAGTCTGTGCCGGGGCCCGGGGATGGCCTCGAGAGTCCGAGAACGGCGAAAAGCCTTGGGACGATCCCCTCCCCTGAGAAGGAGCCAAGACAGGGGCAACATCGGCCCGGGATACATCGTGGTTTTCTGAGGCCTGACGGTTCTGGTGTGTATCGGGCGCCGCGGCTGTTCCATAGCGCTGTGGAAGGCTCTGGGAGCGTGCTGCAACGCCCTGAACAGATTTTTCCCATGTCTAGCCCCGCCCGATGCCCCCTCGACCGATTGCTCCATGGCCATCTTTCGGCGACTCCGAAGGGTGTCGTCTGCAGAGGGTGCTGATGGGCCGATTTCCAACCACCACTACCATAGGTAGGAGGAGGAGGAGGAGAAGGAGGAGAAGGAGGAGGAGGAGGAGGAGGAGGAGGCCCTCCCAATCCTCCCTTCTCCCCTGTCCTACCTATGGTAGTGGTGGTGTAACATTGGCCCATCAGGTGCAGTCTGCAACCCGCACCCTGGAGGCGGCGGGCGAGGTCCTCGGCGGAGTGCTCCGCCGCGCCCCGAGAGGGGCAACGTGGTGCCCCCCCTCCCAGCCCCCAACGTAACCACGCCCTTTGGCAATCGCCGACTTTCCTCCATCGGCGGTGGACAAACCTCCCTTTAGTAAACCTCTCCTTAATGAAAACGGCCTGGGACCGAAACCGACGGACCTGGACCCGCAAAAATGACGGCCGCGACGCCCTCTCGCGAATCGAAAACGGCCAATTCCTTAATCGACGTGTCAAGGTAGGAGGTTCACCCCCGACTCCCTCTCTTTGCAAGCCCGAAACGGGTACGGAAAAATGGGCACGGTGCCCAACAACAAGTGTGGTCCAATACCGACAGCGGCCGCTGTTGGGCAGTTGGGACAACGTCCGCGGCGACGCCGGCCGCGAACCCTGCTCGACATGGACAGTCGCTGCTTTCCGTCTCTGCACCCGTTCTTTACGTGCCCATCTCGATCGTCTCGATTCTCGACCGTCGGGGATCTACTGACCTGGGCCACTCCAGACCCGGACCAGTCGGGCATTGCAGGATCCTGCAAGATACTGCACGCTAGTTCGGTTCAGTGCACTCCTGGTCCTGCAGCATTTTGCAAGATCTGGCGCCCTGGCTGACCCTCGTTTAAAACGATACCCGTCTCGCTCGCCATCGCTCGGACGCCCCTTCCGGTGCACCTTTCGTCTTCGGGCGTGTATGTTTTTGGGCTCGATGATCCAAGATGATCCTCGATGGCCGTCGCCGAGAAATCACACACACACACGCACGCACGCACGCACTCACGCAGGCACGCACGCACGCACGCGCACGCACGCGCACGTACGCGCACGCACGCGCACGCACACGCACGTACGCACACGCAAACACACACACACACGCACACACGCACACACGCATATACACGCAACCACACACGCAACCACACACGCAACCACACACGCAACCACACACGCAACCACACACGCAACCACACACGCAACCACACACGCAACCACACACGCAGCCAGACACGCAGCCACACACGCAACCACACAAGCAAGCACACAAGCAAGCACACAAGCAAGCACACAAGCAAACACACAAACAAGCACACAAGCAAGCGCACAAGCAAGCGCACAAGCAAGCACACACGCAAGCACACACGCAAGCACACAAGCAAGCACACAAGCAAGCACACAAGCAACCACGCAAGCAACCACGCAAGCAACCACACACGCAACCACACACGCAACCACACAAGTAAGCACACAAGCAAGCACACAAGCAAGCACACAAGCAAGCACACAAGCAAACACACAAGCAACCACACAAACAACCACCTAAACAACCACACAAACAACCACACAGACAACCACACAAGCAACCGCACAAGCAACCACACACGCAACCACACAATCAACCACGCAAGCAACCACACAAGCAAACACACACGCAACCACACAAGCAACCACACAAGCAACCACACAAGCAACCACAGAAGCAACCACACGCGCAACCACACGCGCAACGGCACAGGCAACCACACAAGCAACCACACAAGCAACCACACACGCAACCACACAAGCAACCACAGAAGCAACCACAGAAGCAACCACACACGCAAGCACACAAGCAACCACACAAACAACAACACACACAACCACACACACAACCACACAAACAACCACACAGACAACCGCACAAGCAACCACACAAGCAACCACTCAAGCAACCACGCAAGCAACCACGCAAGCAACCACACACGCAACCACACACGCAACCACACAAGCAACCACCCAAGCAACCACACAAGCAACCACACAAGCAACCACACAAGCAAACACACAAGCAACGACACAAGCAACCACACAAGCAACCACACAAGCAACCAGACAAACAACCACACAAACAACCACACAAACAACCACCCAAACAACCACACAAACAACCACACTGACAATCACACAAGCAACCGCACAAGCAACCACACACGCAACCACACAATCAACCACGCAAGGAATCACACAAGCAACCACACACGCAACCACACAAGCAACCACACAAGCAGCCACACAAGCAACCACACAAGCAACCACACACGCACACAAGCACATTGGCACACAAACACACGAACACACAGCCACACAGCCACACACACAGCCACACAACCACACAGCCACACAAACACACAAACACACACACACAACCACACAACCACACAACCACACACGCACACACGCACACACGCGCACAACCACACACCCGCACACACACACGCACACACGCACACACGCACACACGCACACACGTACACACGCACACACGCACACACGCACACACGCACGTACGCACACACGCACACACGCACGCACGCACGCACACACGCACACACGCACACACGCACACACGCACACAAGCACACACGCACACACGCACGCACGCACACACGCACACACGCACACACGCATACACGCACACACGCACACATAACCACAGAACCACAGAACCACATAACCACACAACCACATAACCACAAAACCACAAACACATACAAACACACAAACACACAAATTCACAAACACACGCAAACGCACACACACAACACACAACACACAACACACACACAAACACACACACACATAAACACACACACACACGAACACACACACAAACACACACACAAACACACACACATACACACACACACCTCCGAGCGATGCCAAGAGCGCGTTTCCTTGTTCTCGTCGATCATGGGCATTATAAGGGGGTGGGCGAGGGGGCCGGGGGGAATATAATGTAAATGAAGCCTCCCCTCCGCCGTGTGCCCGATGCGCACGACGGCAGTGCCTGGAGCGCAAGTGGGGGGGGGGAGGGGCGGTACGTTATAGGGGGGGGGAGTGGGGTCGGGAGGGGGGTCGGGGGCTAAATTGCCCATTGTGCCCCAAACAATAAGGAAACACGCTCCGAGGTCTCGAAGCTCCCCACATCCGTGGCCTTCAGGGCCGCAGGACGCGGCTGGGAGCTCCTGGCCGGGCCGCCGCGCGGCGGCCAGGAGTTCGGCGGGCAGGGACGGTGCGGCGCGGCCGCGGCCCACCGCCACGAGCAAGCCCACGATGCGCCGCACCTCTCGGGACTTCCCGGCGTTTCCGTCGTCGTCGCCGTCTTCGTCGTCGTCGTCGTCGTCGTCGTCGTCGACGGCGTCACCGTCGTCGTCGTCGTGGTCGTCGTCGTCGTCGTCGTCGTCGTCGTCACCGTCGTCGTCGTCGTCGTCGTCGTCGTCGTCGTCGTCGTCATCGTCGTCCACCCTCAGCGGGCACTTCGGGTACTGGAGAAGGTCATCCATCCAGGTCACACCACGCCCACGGGCACCAGCCTAAGACCAGTGACGACATATAACTTCCCCCGCCGAAGGCAAGAAGAAACCGCGCCTAGACGGCGCATTGACAGCAGTATATGTGAAGCGAAGGCCACGACACATGTGGAACATTGCCTTGCGAATGCAAGCGCGCCGAACCGCAGCCACTGCATGTGGACCAGTGCTGCTGGGCGTCGGACGACGTTCCACTCACAGAAGACACGTGCACGAAAAGAGGGGAGGAGGGGAACAAAAAGGGAAGGAGGGGGATAAGGGAGGAACCGCACCAGTCAGCGCAGTAATCGTCACATGTTTTGTGCCTTTCGGCGGGGGAGCGTTCAGAAGCTACTGCAGGCGGTCGCGGCCTCCCCCTTGCCATTTCTAAAGCCTGTGCGTGCATGTCTACTGCCAATTGCAGTCGGGGGCGCCCTCGGGAACGTTAGCTTTTCTATTGCCGGCGCTATGTAGTGTAACGCGCCCGTTCCGACAAAAAACGACATCTTTCTTGGTGAACATCCGACAAGGTCCTTCGCCTCGTCAATTTTCAATTTCAGCACTGCTTGCGCGAGAAGAATATGCAGGCTGGACTTTGTTCGAGGGCATGCCGCCTAGAGGCTATCGAATCGATCCCTGTCGGCCTCCAGCAACATGCAAGACTCCAGCTAGAAACTTACTGAACAGATGCAGGCGTCCAGAAGCACGTGTCTTGCAGTGCCTGCTTACGTTCGCGTGGTTCCACACACTGTGCGTGTGTGTATGTTTGAATGCCCCCCTTGCTTCCGTCAGCCGGCGCGTGAGTTCTGTCCTCGGATTCCCGTCCACGCTAAATCGTCTGCCGACATGCACGCATTGATCTTTGCCTGCGATCGTTTTCCTTGGGCCGTGATATGCTTGCAAGTGCACGTGTCCCTGCCGCAACCGTTTTCGACACATCTAAATTCAATGCGAACGATTTCCCAGCATGTGCAGCAACATCCAACTGTCTTTGGAGAGACCCCGGACTGCCCGAACTTTGAAGCGTCCGCGGATAACAAAGCATTCGTTCCCACATGTGGCTTGTCTCCGGAATTGTTTGGGTCGCCAGCCACTTCCGCACTCACTGCTCCCAGAAATTACTATCAAAGTGGATGCGGCGACGGCAGGGAGACCAGAGCCATGTCTGCCCGTCCCCCTACAGGCCGATTTTGGCCCAAAAATACTCAAAAAATAATCCCAAGACTATTTTTTTTACCATTTTTGTATGTTCCCCCTGTAGGAGGGACAGGCCCGACTTAACGCCAGTGCCCGCACTCATTGCCAGTACTCCCACCTGTAGCCTGGAGGCCCCCACGGATTAGGATGGGCGGGTGGAGGAGGAGGAGGAGGAGGCGGAGGAGGAGGAGGGGTTCACATGTGGCTGCCTAGGGCTTGCCAACGGCTCGATTTTTGCTGAGGCATGGGCCGCTGGACGTCTCGACCCCTTCCCGGGGACAATTTTGGTTCCGTCCTGGATCGCTTCTCCTCCACGGCCCCCGGGGCCCGAACTCGGCCCTGCAGAGGCCTCCAAGGGCGCACACACGGGCCGCCCCGACCCTCTTCGAGCCGGTGGACCCCTGGGCATTCGAGGAGGAGGAGGAGGGGGAGGAGGAGGAGGAGGAGGAGGAGGAGGAAGAGGAGGAGGAGGAGGAGGAGGATACGAAAGAGACGAGGTGGAGGAGGAGGAGGAGGAGGAGGAGGAGGAGGAGGAGGAGGAGGAGGAGGAGGGGCACCATGTGCTTCAGGAACCCGTCGCCCCGCACGCGCACGACGGTCAGCCGGGCGCCGTCCTCGCGGCCGCCGCCGGTGCACCGCCGCTTCGCGCCGCCGCCCGGTCCGCCGGCCGCGGCGCCGCCCTCCTCGCGCCCGTCGCTGGCGCCGCCGTCGCTCTCCGCGGCGCCCTCGCCGGCGGCGGCGGCGGCGCGGCGGCAGTGCGGGCAGCCCGGCGTGGCCACTGCCCGCCCGCGGGCGAAGCAGGCGCCGAGGAGCCCGAAGGCGGCGTGGGGCTCGCCCGCCGAGACCTCCACGGCGAACACGGTGCGCACGGTGCTGCCGCAGGACGGAGCCAGGACGAGGACACATCCTCCTCCTCCTCCTCCTCCTCCTCCTCCTCCTCCTCCTCCTCCTGCGGGAGAGAGGAGAGGAGGAGGCTGAGAGGGGGAGTGAGGACGAAGCCAGGACGACGATAAATTCGGGTGAAGACAGATCGAGAACCTCTGAGATCCTGCGGCTCTGACGGGTGTCTCGGGCGCCGCGGCCTTCTCGGAGCGTTCCAGAACGCTCCGAGGGCGTTCCGGGAGCGCTTTGGCACGGACTCCTCCTCGTCCCAGCCCCGTCCGCTGCCGCCCCCCGGCGCCGCCGCGAGCGGCACCGAGGACAGGAGCGCGAAGTCGTGGCGGCCCACGAGCGCGCAGGCCGCCTCGCGCATCGCCGCGGCGTCCAGAGGTGGGCCGCCGTCGTTCAGGATCCAGGCGACCTCGGCCAGGCTGCCGACGTCCGCGGCGCTGCTCCCGCCTGGGGGGTCAAGCGCCGGCTCCACGAGGTTCGGCGGCGAGCGACGGGGGGGAGTGAGAAGGAGAAGAGTCGCTTCCAAGAAGGCGGCGGGGCTTCTCAGAAGCCCTCGCGCCTGCTGAACAGTCTTTCGCGTCGTCGGGGAAGGCGTATAGACAATTCCTCAGAAGGCCGGGGGACTTCCGAACCCTCTGAGAAGGCCTTCTCCTTCTCACTTCCCCCCTTTGCTCGTCGCCGAGATGTAGTACGTGTACGTCTTGCGCGCGCTGCCCCGGGGGCAGAACGAGAGGTCCTCGGACCAGGACGCGGCGCGGCACCGCACGTCGGCCGGGAGGTGCTCGTTAACCTGCTGCGGCAGCGCCTCGGCGGCCGCCTCCAGCTCGGAGGCGTCGGCGTCGGCTGCGGTGGTTGGGGCCGAGAAGTCGCCAGAGTGCCTCCTTCTCCTCCTCCTCCTCCTCCCTCCTCCCTCCTCCCTCCTCCCTCCTCCCTCCTCCCTCCTCCTCCTCCTCCTCCTCCTCCTCCTCCTCCTCCTCCTCCTCCTCCTCCTCCTCCTCCTCCTCCTCCTCCTCCTGCTCCCCCCGTCCCTTCTCCCCGGCGCAGCGGCGCGCTGGAGCGCACCTCCCCGCACCGCGAGTGCCCGGCCCCCGGCTGTGGCAGTTGCAGTAGCAGAGCAGCTGCCGGGCGTGGACGCCCCGGTCCGTGCGGCCGCTGGGCACGAGGCCCGAGGGGGGCGCCCGGAGCAGGCGCGGGAGGGCCCCCGGCGAGGCGAACACCTGGCGGATGGCGGCGTCCACGACCTCCTGGACGGAGCGTGCCCCCGCGCCCTGGCGGGTGCTGGAAAGGCCGCGCGCGCTGGGTCTGACCCCTGCCGTCGCTCGGACGTCCATTCCCTGTGCGCTTTTCGGTGTCGTGCGCGTTTCTCCTGCTCGATGATCCAGGATGCTCTTCGATGGCCCTCGCCGGGAACAGATGCACACGTCCGAGCGATGCCAAGGACCCCGTCGTGAGGGCGGGGACGCTTGCCTCTGCAACCGCGTGTATCGTTCTGCCTTGACATGGCCCGTCGCCGCCCGACGGCGGAGATCGCTCAAGATCAGACCGACGGGTTGCTTTCAACCCTGAGCGCCAGCGCCGGCGTCGCCGCCGCGTCGACGCGGCGCGAGCCTGCCGTAACCGAGCCTGGTGCTGCTTCCTTCTATCCTCGACGAGCGCGTTCCACTACTCGCAAAGTAACTACTCGCAAATGGCCCGGATCCCCCGGCGGGAGACCTAGGATACATCACATCGAGCAGACATGTGTGTGTGTGTGTGTGTGTTTCTGACTTTGGCGAGTGGACACTTTGCGAGTAGTGGAACGCGCTCGGCGATATCCGTAGCCGCCCTCCCGGACAAGGTGCATGGCCCAGCCACCTCCCCACCCGAATCACCGACGACAGAAAGGCAGGAGCAAACCCGGGCGTGCGAGCCTCGAACATCCACGATGGTCTTCGCGCGGTGCGGCAGGTTCGCGTCAGAACTATCGACCCCGTCGTTGGGTTCATGACACCGCGGGGATCGTTCAACCTTCGTTTCCGAACCGTCAGATCGTTCAACATCGATCGATTCTGGGTCGCAGGGCGGCGTTCAACGTTGAACGCCGGCGGCGGGGTCGCCGCTGGTGGACACGACGCGAGCCTGCCGTACTTGCGGCTTGCCGCATGCCGCCTTCTGCGAATCTGTGACGAGACAGAGACCACCCCGCTGCTCAGGGCCCCTCAGCCTCCGAGGTCTTGACTTGTTCCACGCGCGGGGGCCGCGCAAATCTCGTCCACGTCGTGGGAGCTGGTGTCTCGTCCTGGATAAATTGCTGGGTGTCCCTGGACCCGAAGGAGAAGGCAGAAATCCCCCCCCACAATAAGCACCCCGACAAGCGAAGCCGTTTAGTAAACGCACCCAAAGCAGGAATCGCACAGACCAGGGCTGTTTTGTAAACGCCCGGCGCCGTTCAGTAAGCGCCAAACGTCGGGGGGTCTGGGTGGTCTTTCCTCACTTGAAGAAAGAACTCCCCGCCGAACCCGGTGCTCCGAATGCGCAAATCGTGCTTTTTGGCTCAGAGCTCTGCAGGGCGGTCCCCTCACCGTCCCTCTCGGCCTCGACCTCGGCCGCCGCAGTGGCCGGGCAGCTCGCGTCGCAGGCGGGGTGGGGCAGCCGCGCGCCCTCCCGCCAGCACCGTGCGCAGATGTGCCCCGACCTGCAGCCGGCGCCCTTCTTGCAGCGGCCGCGGTTGAACTGCCGGCACGGCCCAGGCTCACCTGGAGCATGCCAGGATTGGACAGGAGCTCTCGAGAGCCGCGGGAGTTCTCGCGTCGGGGCTGGACCCCCCTCCCCACACCCCTTCCCCGCGCTCTGGAGGCGCCGCCTTGTGTCAACCCAGAAGGGCCCGTGGCCCCCCCTGAAGGAGGCCTGGATCACCTGGCGGAGACGCGTCCTGGAACCCCGCGACCAGCTCTCCGTCCTGAGCCGTTCTCCTACGCCCCTGGGAGCCGCGAGCGGGGAAAGACCTTCAGGACCTCCTTCCTCCAGGACCCCCCCCTGCGACCCGACGTCGCGAACAAAGAAGCGTCGTCTCAAATTAGCCTGGCGAAGAACCCAAGCATATGCAGTTGTCAGTACCGCAGCTGCGGGTTTCATCTTCAGTGGAACTCCCCATAGGACCACGGAGCGTGTGAGGGGTGTTGCGAGATGGGTGCCACTGGGGCATTCGGTGAAGCTCCCGATGGGGACATGAAACACGCGCGGGGCGTGCCGATATGGGTGGCGGAAACGCATGTGAGGGCCGCCACTGGGGCCTCCAGTGGAGCTCCCTATGGGTCCCCGAAACATGATGCTGCTGCGGGGGGGGGGCCGGGATGGGTGGCAGAGACGCATGTAAGCGCCGCTACTGGGGCCTTCGGTGGAGCTCCCTATGGGGCCACGAAGCGCGTGAGGGGTGTACTGGGATGTGTGGCGGGGACGCATGTGAGCGCCGCCACTGGGGCCTTCGGTGCAGCTCCCTATGGGGCCACGAAACGTGTGAGGGGTGTGCCGAATTGGGTGCGGGTGGTGACGCATGCGGGCGGTGCCACTGGGGCCTTCGGTGGAGCTCCCTATGGGGCCACGAAACCTGTTGTTGTGAGGGGCGTGCCGGGATGGGTAGCGGGGACGCATGTGAGCGCGGCCGCTGGGGCCTTCGGTGGAGCTCCCTATGGGACCACGAAACGTGTGAGGGGTGTGCCGAATTAGGTGGGTGTGGGTGACGCATGTGAGCGCCGCCACTGGGGCCTCCGGTGGATGATGGGGCCACGAAACCTGTGTGGGATGTGCCGAAATGGGTGTGCGGGACGCATGCGCATGTGAGCGCCGCCGCTGGGGCCTTCGGTCAGGCTCCCTGTGGGGCCACGAAACGTGTGAGGGGTGTGCCGAATTGGGTGCGCGTGACGCATGCGAGCGGCAGCACTGGGGCCTTTGGTGGAGCTTCCCATGGGGCCACGAAGCGTGTGAGGGGTGTGCCGAATTCGGTGTGCGGGACGCATGCGGGCGGCAGCACTGGGGCCTTCGGTGGAGCTCCCTATGGGCCACGAAACGTGTGAGGGGTGTGCCCGTGACGCATGCGGGCGGCAGCACTGGGGCCTTCGGTGGGGCTCCCTATGGGGCCACGAAACGTGTGAGGGGTGTGCCGAATTGGGTGTGCGGTGACGCATGCGGGCGGGGCACTGGGGCCTTCGGTGGGCTCCCTATGGGGCCACGAAACGTGTGAGGGGTGTGCCGAATTGGGTGGGGTGACGCATGCGGGCGGCAGCACTGGGGCCTTCGGCGGAGCTCCCTATGGGGCCACGAAACGTGTGAGGGGTGTGCCGAATTGGGTGTGGGTGACGCATGCGGGCGGCAGCACTGGGGCCTTCGGTGGGGCTCCCTATGGGGCCACGAAACGTGTGAGGGGTGTGCCGAATTGGGTGTGCGTGACGCATGCGGGCGGCAGCACTGGGGCCTTCGGTGGAGCTCCCTATGGGGCCACGAAACGTGTGAGGGGTGTGCCGAATTGGGTGTGCGTGACGCATGCGGGCGGCAGCACTGGGGCCTTCGGCGGAGCTCCCTATGGGGCCACGAAACGTGTGAGGGGTGTGCCGAATTGGGTGTGCGTGACGCATGCGGGCGGCAGCACTGGGGCCTTCGGTGGAGCTCCCTATGGGGCCACGAAACGTGTGAGGGGTGTGCCGAATGGGTGTGCGGGACGCATGCGGGCGGCAGCACTGGGGCCTTCGGTGGAGCTCCCTATGGGGCCACGAAACGTGTGAGGGGTGTGCCGAATTGGTGTGCGGGACGCATGCTGGGGGGGTCCCTATGGGGCACGAAAGCGTGTGAGGGGTGTGCCGGGCGTGCACGCATGCGGGCGCAGCACTAGGGCCTTCGGTGGAGCTCCCTATGGGGCCACGAAACGTGTGAGGGGTGCGCCGAATTGGGTGATGACGATGACGATGACGATGACGATGACGATGACGATGATGATGATGAATGATGATGATGATGATGATGATGATGATGATGATGATGATGATGATGATGATGATGATGATGATGGTGGTGGTGGTGGTGGTGGTGGTGGTGGTGATGACGTCGATGATGTCGATGATGGTCATGGTGATGGCGGTGACGATGATGGTGATGATGATGATGACGACGATGATGATGATGATGATGATGATGATGATGATGATGATGATGATGATAATGATGATGATCATGATGGGAGGGGGGAGGAGGCAGCGGGAGGAAGGGAGGAAGGAGAACGCGGGGCACCGTCTCTTCAAAACGAGGACCCAACACCACAGGATGGTTGGGAAAAACATGACTGGAGCCCTACGCCCCATCTCTCTGCGGCATTGCTCGGGCCAGGTCTTAAGCCGGGCCTGTCCCCTACAGGCCACAACGTCGACCCCAGAGGTCTCGACAGTCCCCGTGACCCGTTTGATACATTTCCTAAAGGGACGCCAGCGACAGGTACTTCTGAGACCGCGGCGTTGCATTTGAGACCGCGAAAAATGCGAGCGAAAGCGTCGCGCAGCGACCTTGTGGGCGAAGCCGAACGGACTTGAGAAACTGGCATCGCCCGTCTCAAAAGTCCCTTTCCCTGGGGTTCCTTTTGGAACCGCATGATCGTTGCTCATCCCGAGCAGTTTTTGGACGGTCCCGGTGCCTGGTGAGGGCCTCCGGAGGCTAGAGATAGCGAAACACCTCCCGTCGTGATTGTTCCATGACCCGACGGGGGACCTGCATCTCCCCTCCAAATCCAACGCCCGTTTTTCCCGCGATGTGGCGGCGCCCCAGGACCCCAAAACTTCAGCGTTCGCGCCGGGACTGGCAACTGCAGACGCACACATCTGACCTCCCGTGGGCCGCCTCTCGCGCGTCGATCAGCATCAAAGACTTGCGTCTGCTTTCGAGGTGGGTTGTGGGGCCCTCGATCTCCCCACGCTCCCAGACCTGCGACGTCATTTTTTTTTTTTTTTTTTTTGTTTTTTTTTTTGTCAAAACGTCGACCCCAGAGGTCTCAGCACATTCCCCGGGACCGGTTTTTCACCCCGAATCGTTTTTTGAGGGTCCTGGTGCCCGGTGAGGGCCTCCGGAGGCTAGAGATAGTGAAACACCTCTCGTCGTGATTGTTCCATGACCCGATGGGGGCCTGCATCTCCCCTCCGAGTCAAACGCAAGTTTTTCCCGCGACGCGGCGGCACCCCAGGACCCCAAAACTTCCATGTTCGCGCCGAAACTGGCGACTGCAGACACACAAATCTGACCTCCCGTGGGCCGCCTCTTGAGGGGGCCTGGCATCCTCGATCCCCCCCTACCCAGAATCGAATCGATAAGTCCGATCGGCGATCGAAATCAATCGGATCGGCGCGGAAATCGGCAGCCGCATCGGGAAAGGTCGAATCGGCGGAAATCGGCAGTTTAGTAGGCCTCCATTGAGAAATCGGAGCCCGAATCGGAATCCGAAGAATCGAATCGAATCGGAATCCGAGGCCACCGAAATCGAATCGAATCGAATCGGAGGAATCGAAACGAGCCCCGCGTTTTTTGCCCTCCCGTTGCCGAATCGTTTCTGAGGGTCCTGTCGCCTGGTGAGGGCACTCGGAGGCCGGAAATAGTGAAACACCTCCCGTCGTGATCTTTGTCGTGGCTCGAGGGGCCCAGGGTCCTCGATCCCCCCACGTTCCCTGCCCTCCCATTGCCGTCCGCCCGAGTCCGCGGGCGTCGGGGATCTTCTGACCTGGGTCAATCCAGACCCGGGTCAGTCAGGCCGTGCAGAATCCTGCAAGATCCTGCAAGAAGCCCGGGTCAATGCGACCCTCGCCCTGCAGGATCCTGCAACACCCGGCGCTCCGGCTGACCCCCCCCGCTCGCCCTGACCCCCGTCTCCTGAGCCCCGGACGCTCCCTGCCCCTGGCCATCGCTCGGACGTCCATTCCCTGTGTTTTTTCGGTCTCGTGCGTGGCTTTTTCTCGGGCCGGGCGAAAGGGGGGGATAGCAAAGAGGGGGTTTGAGAATAAGCTCGCGTAGCTGATTTTCCTGGCGCCTCCTGGCGCCGGGAGGCGGCTGTGTATCGAGGAATGGGCCCCTCGCTGGGGCCTGAACCAGCTGCACGCAGCAGATTTCGTAACCCCCCCTTTCCCTATCCCCCCCTTTCGTCCGGCCCGATTTTCGCCGAATGATCAAGGATGCTCCTCGATGGTCCTCGATGCACACGATGCTCCTCGATGGTCCTCGATGCTCCTCGATGCTCCTCGATGGTCCTCGATGCTCCTCGATGGTCCTCGATGGTCCTCGATTTTCCTCGAATGATCAAGGATGCTCCTCGATGGTCCTCGATGCACACGCCCGAGCGATGCCCGGGCCCGCCCGTGGCCGCCCGCCCGAGCTTCCGGTGGGCGCTCCGCCTCGCCTGCCCCGGCCTCGGCCCGCGGGCGCGCCTGGGCCTGCCAGCCGCCGTAGCGCGAGCCGAGGTAGCACAGGTCCAGCACCAGCTTGGCGCGGACCATCGAGGGGGGCCCCTGGGGTGCGCCGCCCCCTCCGGCGGCGGGCGGCGACCAGGGGGCGCGACCTCGAGGGGCAACGATTGGGAGGGGGGGGAGGAGGAGCGAGCGAGCGAGCGGAAGCCGAGGGGCAGTTGGATCCAGAGACGGGGAGGGAGGCACAACCCTCACCACCCCCTCCCACCACCCCCTCCCACCACCACCATCGAGGGGGCCCTGGGACACACCAAGATCAACAGCCACAGGCCACCAAATTCCCCTCCACGCTTTCCCCTCTATATATCTTTTCTTGGTTTGTCTCCTCCCCCCCCCCCACTTCCCGTATTTTTCCACATTTTCTGGAGGATCGGCGATTCATTGTGTCTGTGTGTGTGCGTCTTTTTTCCTCCCGAACCGTGCGCCGCCCCCGGCGGCGGCGGGCGGCGGCCAGGGGGCGCTCCCTCGGGGCAACGATTGGGAGGAGGAGGAGGAGGATGAGGAGGAGGAGGAGAGGAGGAGGAGGAGGAGGAGGAGGAGGAGGGAGGAGGGGAGGATCGGAGGAGGAGGAGGAGGAGAGGAGGAGGGGG